GTTTTGTCAAATCACCATTATTGTTGAACGATTTGTCACACACGTCGCAAGCGTACGGTTTTTCACCAGTGTGTGTGCGTCGATGTTTTGTCAAATCACCATTATTGTTGAACGATTTGTCACACACGTCGCAAGCGTACGGTTTTTCACCAGTGTGTGTGCGTCGATGAATTTCCAAATTGCCACTCTGGCTGAAAGATTTGCCACACACGTCGCACCTGTACGGTTTTTCACCAGTGTGTGTACGTCGATGTTTTGTCAAATCACCATTATTGTTGAACGATTTGTCACACACGTCGCAAGCGTACGGTTTTTCACCAGTGTGTGTGCGTCGATGTTCTGTCAAAAAGAAATTCCTGGTGAACGATTTGTCACACACGTCGCATGCGTACGGTTTTTCACCAGTGTGTGTGCGTTGATGTATTTTCAATTGTCTACTTTGGTAGAAATATTTGTCGCAGACATTGCATGGGTAATTTTTCTTATCCATTTTTTTGTCGGAGTGACGGCAGGCTGAAGATTTGTAAATAACTTATTGATATTTATTTTTTTTTTTCTTAAACTATTTGGTAACTATGTACTTCTCTACTTATAGTCGATTAGACTTTATTGACATCACCAGATTTTCAAGCCAGCATTTGATGCAGTATTTTTTTTTACATTAAATAAAGTATAATATTACGCTTTTACGTATTATTAGTAATTTATATTACATTTTATAATAATAACTGATACCCGTGCACTTCATATTCCGTTAAAAATACAATTGGGCAACTGAACCTCAACAGAGGCAAAAACGGCCAATGGGCGAGAATCTTTCCATAGCCACTTTAATTTTGCAGTTTTATACATCTCACCCATCTATTCACCAAGTTATATATATTTTATTAGATATTCAAAGTGAATCTTGTTTAAAAATTTATAGCATAAAACAACAAAATCTTAACAAGCCTCGTAAAGAACAAAAAAAATACTATATTTTTAATTAATACGTGGAAAAAATATAAAAATAACGAGATATCGTTAAACAATTATTTACTTTCATTGGGACCACGTTTTGTGCTAAAAAGTTATAAGATTTTTGTTATTTTGATGTATTATAATATAATTATTTATTTTTTATTATACCTAAATATTAAATTATTATTAATGTTGAGAATTTTGGACATTTTTTGAATTGTATGAACTTAATTTATGAACTTATAATTTGTTTTTATGTGTAACTCACTAAGTATCAATATTTCTTACTTTTGGCATGCTTACTAAATTATTATTATTTTTCTTTGTTTTTGTAAACGAATATCYGACGTATTATTTTTTTACGTGTAATAATTGTGATGTATTGTATTACGCCGTGTCCTACGGAGTCCGGCGAAAAACAAAACAGCTTGTTGTATTCGCCACCTCGGACGCACCGCACTGCAGGGAAACAGCATAGTCAGAATAGAATTCGTTCGCACTCGACGCACTCGCCGGATTCAAGCTCCATTTCGCCAGCATGTACATATGCGAAATTTTGAATTTTTTTATATACATTATTTTGCGGATATTTTGCGTGATTTTGCGGACAATTAGTTTTTTAGCAAATAAAAAAAAACTGTTTACATGCTGGTAAAATGTTGCAAAAAATAAAAAATTCACCCAAATCCATTTTTTACTATACCATCATTTTGCGGATAATTTGCGTGATTTTGCGGACTAGATTTCGATTTTTGCGGACAATTAGTTTTTTATAAAATAAATTAAAAAATACCTATTTCATTTTTTATTTCAAAATTGTTTTGCGGATAATTTGCGTGATTTTGTTTACCAATCAAATTTACTTAACAAATATTTTAATATACCATATTAAATTTATTTTTATAAAATAACAGCACAATTTCTAATAATCTTTATTAGTTTCTCTAGTGTATAAAAGTATTTGTACACCGCATTTTGTCAACTTTGATATGGGTATTGGTTTCTGTTTAAAATCATCATACTCCTCCCAATGTCCATCATTTCTTAGTGCAACTGCAACATAATGCCCAATACTTCTTGCAGCAGATCTGTTTCCAATAAATACAGCTGCTCCACGTAGTATAAAAAGATTGTTCATAATAGTGATTCGTGTTGGTATGCTTTGTAAACTGCAAACTACATCACCAAACACTGCTTCTGGTACGCCTAATAAATTTTCCTCTACATTTTTAGGATCTTGATATTATAGTATAATTGACAATTTTATGTTTGTTAATTTCTATAAATCCTACAATATAAAATATTTATTTTGCGTTGTGTTTGTTCAATATAAAAAGGTAAAAAGTATTATATCGATGTTAGACTTACTGGCACAACCCCACAGTTAAATGCCGTAAATCCAGATAGGTTTTATAATTACTACATTCAGTAGACGTTTGTTTTCGATAGTTAATCTCTGAGTGGGGTCCGACTAACCAATAAAGTTTTCGCATTTTTTCTTTTATCTGAATTTTTTTTTTGATGGACGTGAATATTTATAGAAATTTATAAAAAATAAATAATTGCTAAAATCACTTGGTTTGGTTAGGTTTAGTTAGGTTTAGTGAGATATAATCTAACCTAACGTCACTAACAGCATCGGCCGGAAAATTATTTGAATTTAAATTTATATGATAACAGCAGCGCCATCTACTGAATTATTACTTTATTACAAAATATGATAAATGATTATAACCAATTTTTTTGAATTACCAATTCAATTTAGTTTAATCTACAGTCTATACTCTATAGTATAGATTTTAGTATAATTTTATAAAATCAAAGTCATTAAATTCCAAACCTTTTACTATGCAATGAAATGGGTTCTGACCATGAAAAGTTGCTTCTTCATAATGAAGTGTTTCGTGGTAAAATATTATCACGCCTTTTTGAACTCAGAGATGAAGCACGAACTTTTATTCTGGAACGTAATAATAATACTCTTTCGGAACATTTTTTAAACGAGCAAAGGCTTGCAATTCTGGGTTATCCTTCAGATATATTTGAAAAACTAAATTGTCTAAATTTAAGCCTACAAGGGAAAAATGCTAATATTTTATTTCTTTCAGATAAAATCAATGATTTTAAAAAGAAAATACTTCTGTGGAAAAATTATATCGACGATGACAAATTTGAAATGTTTTCATGTTTATCAGAATTCCTCAGTGATAATGATGTTGATATTAATAGATAAAAGAAATTCTAACTACTCATCTAATAAGTTTACAAACAAACTTTAATGAACGGTTTGAAGATTTCCCAGAAGAAAGTCTAGGTTGGATAAGAAATCCATTTTATTTTAATATCAATAAAATAAAATTAGGAAAATCTACGTATCAGATTTCAAGAAAATGCATGTGATACATTTTTGATTTTCATCAAATCTGAATCAGAATTATCAAAACAAGCAATATCAATTTTACTTCTTTTTGCATCAACTTATTTATGCGAAACAGCATTTTCAACACTAACGATAATTAAAAACAAATATCGCTCCAGATGAAATGTTGAAGCTGATTTAAGAGTAGCAGTGTCAAATATCAAACCAACCATAGAATCAATCATGTCTACAATGCAAGCTCAGGTCATCTCTCATTAAAATAATTAAATGGGTAATTTTATAATTTTAAAAATATTAAAATTTTGATTATCATTATAATAATACATTTTTTAATTTTAGAATTTATAAAATTTTAATTTTGTATTTTTTTTTCATGTTTTTGATTAATTAAATTAAAGAAATATTAAAATTGCCTAAAATTAACGTTTTAATGTACTCGTATATGAATAAAATGTGTGTATACATTAAGACTATCAAGTACATTTATACTATACATTTACATAATGTTGGTTGGAAGGGGGTCGTATTATCAAAATAAATCATTTTGGGGGGTCGTGGATCAAAAACGTTGCTCACCACTKGTCTATACCACGATCTTAGGAAATAACTTATCTGATGTTTATAATTACTTCTAAAAAAATATTTTAATAAAACATCATTAGATAAAATAATAAATTAGGTTTATCGTTTCAAATGTTATATTGTAATAATGAGGGGATTTAAGTTCTGAAAAAAACCCTAAAAGATTCTCTAACTTGGCGCAAAAACGTCCATACAAATACGTATGTATGAAATAAGTTAGTTCACTGTGTACCTTAGACCTCAACACTCAATAAATATCGAACTCCGTATAACTACGATACAGTCAAATAGTTGGATAGAATATAATTTAAGTAGCTTGTGACTTTGTGAGTATTATTGTTTGTAAGTGTTTAATCTATAATAAAACTTTGATAACTGAAACGGAATCCTAATTATTTAAATATATTTAAGATCCTGTTATATATATATATATATATATATATATATCTACCCCTGGCTACGGTAATTATATCTATAGAGTCCTACGACTCTCAATGGATATCTTATATTTAACTGGTCGTTCTCCCGACCACGTTACAATGTCAAAAAAATTGTATTTGTTTGGTTAAAAGCTTGAAAACCTTATACAAGGCTCTTCGTATATTGTTATAATATCAGTAAAAAAATATTAAAAATACATAACAAAATTCTTTGTATATTAGCATTTTAACTTAAAATAATTATAAAATTTTTCAAATTGAATATTTACAAACTATTTTTTAGTTGAAAATTTATAAAATATTTGATTTGTTTTGGAAAAAATTGAAAATTGAGAACATAGTTTTTAGTAAGTAGTTCTTTCTGTAACCAACAAATCTAAACAAATATATAATTTTTTTTAAAGTTATTTTAAGTTCAAATTTGGACGATAGGTATTACATAATATAATTAATACATAATAATAATATATAGTGTAATAAAATACATTTCATAATAATGTTATAAATTTATAACCAAAAATAACGATTTTAATTAATTAATTATACGTCCTGTGTCACCCGAAATGCGTGTGGATGTTCAAACATAAAAAGAATATCCCCACAAGTATACTTGTACAGGCTAACGCGGGTTTTTTCTTACTAAACTAATTTATATTACAAGGGAGATGGATAGGCCTACCGGGAAATTCCCAGTTGCCCGGTAGGCCCCCCTTCATATTTCGGTAATGGGGCCCTTTATAATATCATATATTATTAAATTCTTTTTCATGTGGGGCCCCTTTTTAAAATGTTCCGGTAGGCCAAAAATGGCCTATCCGCCCATGGATATGTGGCTATAATAAATATAACGCAACCTATTCATTATTAATCTACATAGTTGATTATTAAACATATATACGAGCAGTATAATCAACCGAAATTAGTTTATTTCAAAATTTGATTACCTTGAATGATTGAGAATATGATAAATACATTTTGCATTTTGCACAGCTAGTGCACTTTTATTGAAAATATTATACAATATATAATTTAAAAATGTAAGATTATATTTCTCATGAATATATTAATTGGGTTGAACAATAATGAACATCTTTATTCTTTAATTAAATTATGTTTAATGATTCCTTA